GAATTTCTCTGTTTAGCATTATTAAATTAGCACAATACAAAGATGAGTGGAAAGCCTAAAGAAAGCTCAGTCTTGCGTCACACTCTGACACGTGACTCATTAATCACATCTGAGTCATTGTTGCTGCCGTTCAATCTTTGTAAGGAAAACAAAAGTAATTTTCAGTCATATTGGAGTTCATCAGGAGAATGTTGCACCATATCAGAGAAAAAGCTTATTTGCAGGTGGAAGACTGGAAGTTGTCCCACAGCTTCATCAGCACACAGACTGGAGCCTCAGTCAGCATGCTGACTGGGAACAGTCATGTTGGAACTGGGAAACAGTAAATAAAAATATGGTTTGGAAGTAAAATGTCTTTTCTTTAAAATCATGGCAGAAGGTTTGTTTGTCCCTCCTGTTAATAACGAAGAACTGACAGAGTCTCTTCCAGCAGTGCTGTGTGTGTGTGCTCTGTTTGTTTGTAAGTGTATTGTGTAACTGTTTGAAGTGTTGTGTTTGTGGGTGTGGTGGGAGGATCGCATCCTTCTGTGGACTAAAGGCTATGTCTTCTCTGCAGACCTGCAGCTTCTTAGAATATATTTTAATTTATCTTTTATATTTAAATTTAATTCATTTATTCATTTCATATGAAAATAAAAAAATTTACTCAATAAAGAAATATATCACATTTGAAATGAAAGGAGGCAGAAAGAAGAAAAAACCTTATATCTGCTCCTTTTTTACAAAATTCATTTCAAACAATAATAAACAAAAACCAAAACGAAATAAAAACTTCAATTCCTTTTCAAACAACTTTTCATAGACATTATACAGTTTCATGTTTCTTTAACAAACTTATTTTAATCATTCTCTTAAACGAAGAACATTGAACCTACATTTTTATAATCACTTTCCAGATTATTCCACAATCTTATTCCTTGAACTGAAGTGCATCGATCCTTCAAATTTGTTCAAATTTTAGGTTTTATAAACATCTCAAGTCCCTTAAGATTATATAAACTTTCTCTCTTAACAAAATATAACTGAATGTTTAAAGGTTTAAAAAATTATGAGCCTTATACATGATCTGCAAGATATTATAATCAACCCACTCATAAAATTGTAATAATTTTCATCAGACACACTGAATATGACACTTTGATACAATGTGAAGAAGTCATACAGTAAATGTTGTCCCATCAAAATAACTCAACACAGTCATTAATGTCTAAACAGCTGGCAACAATAAAGGAAAATGACCAAATTGTGCCCATTTAGCCCCTTTCCTTCTCTGGTGTCCTGTTGTAAGAAAACAAACACTGGAAACCAGAATGACTGCACAGAAAAGGGAGTTTTCCCACTGGCACCAATCTGCTGCTCCGGACTGGAGACTGATGATTCAACACAATCTGCTGCTTCTTTACATTGTTTTTTGTACAGAGATGTGAAACGACGTTTGTTGTGACTTGGTGCCACAGGACATAAATAAACTAAATTGAAAGCCAAGTGAATTTCTCAGTTCAAAAACTTTTTTCTTCAGCTCTAAAACCTCCATTCATGCTCAGAGTCACTGTCTGTGTGGGACCTTGAGTCTGATCTGCACCAAAGAAAAACAGCAGCTCCTCTCTCCTGCTGCTGGTTACTCTAACGTCTCCCCATCGTCTCAAGACTTATGTGTGCTTAACAAAAAAAAAAAACACAAACACTCTGGGGTTTACTAAAGTCAACAACTATTTTTCCTGCATTGAGTCGACGCTTATTGATTCTCTTCTTAAATGACTATAAACGATAATAAAGTGTAAAATATAAGACTACAGCAGGTAAAATAAGTATTGAACACGTCATCATTTTTCAGTAAATATATTACTAGAGGTGCTAATGACATGAAATGTTCACCAGATGTCGGTAACAACCCAAGTGATCCATACATAC